GGTATGAGGCATAGTGGTGCGTAAAGGCCCATATGCTAAGTACTGAGAACATGTGGCGTGTCTAACCACATGTTGTCTAGGAAGGTGTAGTCAAGCGCATTCTCGCACGTCAGAGCCCAACCGGATTGGCAGCGAGGAGGCTGTGCATGAAGGGAGGAAGACTCGGAGGATAACCTGGTCAGCTGCCTTGGCCGAGTATGGTACCATATGACGATATGGGATCCAACCAGACATTGGCATGGTGCGCCAGTAAGGCCAATAGATGGAAGGATGAACCGGGTACCGCGATGGACTGTAGTGCCCGGGTGAAGGCGTTCATCTAGTTTCTGTGTGATTCCGGATGAGCGTGAACCTTCACAGGCGTGGGCAGAGAATGTGGCTAATGCACCTAGGCGCCTTATTGCATATAGAAAACAAGTATTAGATACTTGTCTAGGTTTGCATGGGCATTGCATATAGATTGTTTGATTGTTGTTATAGTCTTGGGTTGATCGTACCTGTTCTTGTTTGATTGGGGTACGGTTAGTCTTAAGACTATGGCATCAATAATGCATGTGATTGCATATGTTGTGTTGTGCTAACCTCAATGCAGGTGGAGGCGGGATTACAAGCCCGCGGCGTTTGTGTTTGGAGTTTAGGGAATCCCCCTTGTATAGAGGTCCTAGACTCACTGAGTAATATTAGATTACTCATTCCTTTTGTTTAATGTTTTCAGGTGACCGTAGAGGTGTGAAGTAGAGCGGACCGCTGCAGGCAGTAGGCGCCAGAATAGTTTTGTGGTATGTTTTTGTAAAATTATGGTTTGTTGTTTGGTTTGGAACTAAGGATCGATCCGCATGTTTTTAAGTCGGATTTTGTAAGCACTCTGATATTTTAATAAAGGAAAGTTTTATGTAAAGACCTTATGTTCCAATGATATTAGCTTGGTCCGGGCTAACACAACTCCTGACCGAAGTACGGGTTGGCAAGCCTTAGGCTTTGGTCAAGAGGGTCGAGTTCGTGGAACGGGCTGACCTGGGCTCTATTATGTTCTTAGTCTGGGATGGCCTATTTGGCGAACATCGACATTTTGTGGCGTTTCTCGGAACGTCTGTGCCTAGGACGGTTCGGGGGTGTTACAACCCCAATCAAGGAGCATATCAAGGAGGCCAATACCAATCCAAGCCACAACAAGTCTACCAAGAGGGATGTACCAAGTGAAGCAGCCATTCACTTTTTCTCAAGAAACAAATCCAACCCAAACCGGAGAGAAGGTTGACGTGGCCTTGAAGAAATACATGGAGGAGCAGAGATTGATCACCAAGAACCTATATGAGAAGCTTGATCACATGTTTGGTGATCTAAGCAGCAAGTTTGGGTCTCTCTCTACTCACGTTCAAAAGCTTGAGGTGCAAATCGCTCAAACAGCCGAGGCGGCCAAGAAACAAAATGAGGTAAACACTCAAAAATTTTGTAGTGTTGTCTCATCTATAGATGGCACTTGTTCCTACACTATCTCAAGGGGAAGAAGAAGAAAATGAGCCTAAGGAGAGGCACAAACCGGAGAGATACAGTTGGGAATCAAGAAGAGCTTACAAGAGAAGACTTGAAGGCAAGCCACTACAAAAACAAGAAGATCCGGGGAAGTTTGTGATAACTTCAAGTATCAATGGCATTCAACTCCATGATTGCCTATGTGATACTGGTGCTAATGTTAATCTAATGTCTCTTGCACTTGCAAAAGACTTGGGATTCAAGGAATTCAAGAGCCCCAAGATAAGAGTCGAGTTCGCGGATCTATCGTGCATGGAACCTTATGGAATGCTTGAAGATGTCATGATGGAAATAGGGGGTCGATCGTCCCAACTGACTTTCAAGTCATGATTTGGGAAGGCTCAAAGAGGAATCAACTGATTCTTGGAACCCCATTCCTTGCTACAGCTGGAGCGGTCCTAAACTACTTTGGGAATCATCTATCTTTTGGCCACATCCGGCAAGATATCTTTTTCCCAAGTGTAAATTTCAGGTCAGTGCCAAGTGCGACCAAGCTACCACCAGAAGAAGCCACTCTCATGCCTAAGAAAGAAGCTGTGATGCATGGAGAAAGAAGAGAGAGTGAGCGCTACCCAAAACCAAAGGAGAAGAAGAAACCATTGGAGCCGAGGCATGAAAATGTCTTCAAAGATATCAACTCCATCTTACTTCCAACCTTTGACGAGTATGGAGCTGAAGAGGAGACTAATGGTGCACCTAATCTCTTTCACAAGATAAGAATCTTTACACCAAAAGATTCGGAGCTTAAAGGTGACCAATCCATTGAAGAGAAGCTTGAGAGAACTATGAAGCTTTTCCCCAAGGCATTGGTTTTCAAGATGATGTGAGAGATGATCATGGCGCGCAACACCACCACAAGAGCCACTGAACCGGAGAATGGAGAAGCTAAAGGGATCCTTTGCCCTTCAGCCACTCTTCACCACGATTAAAGAAAGAGAAGGAGTCAAGCTAAATGACTTAAAACAAAAGCGCTTTATGGGAGGCAACCCATATGGTTTTTAACTATTATTTCTATTTTGCAGGAGTTTTTCAAAAATCAAACAAAAATACAAAAATATTTTCTTAGGATGAAGACCCAAAGGAGACCAAACAATGGAAGTGTCCCACCCAATGAGCCCACCCTTGTACAAGGCGTTTCTCTTCCAAAAGGTAAGTAAATCTCACCTAGTATTCATTTCTAATCACTCTTGATCTTCACTTGAAAAATCGTTTAAACCATTGCACTTTATCAAATATATTTCATGGTTTAACTTGATTTACATTTGATGATTGGAAAGAATACATAATCACTTGTCAAAACTCATTTCTCACTGAAATTACAAGAGATTGAACTATAGTTTGAAATTTGGATCATTGACCAAGACCAAATAAGAATTTATAGTTTGTGCTTTAATCTCTTGGATTGTGAACTTCAAGTTGGTCACTTGAGGATCACAATCTGAGAAACCATCTAATCATGATTTCAAGTGTTTTGCAAGGAGTTAACTATTTGACAGGAAGGAGAAATAGCAAACCTATCAACCACCTCAAAACCAACATGCATATGGCGGCCAAAGGGAGGTTAAAAGGAGATACATAGGCCATCACACGAAACAAGGCGGCCACCACTTGGGAATGACACAGGAGGGTTATTAAAACAATTCGGTCGAAGAAAATCTCAATTGGCCCGAGTGGATTTGAAGAAATTCAATCCGGACATTTCTCTCGGCCATGACGCACAAGGAGACCAATTACGGCCAACTCCTAAACGGCGTGACCGAAGTCCACCAAACTTCACAGGCGACCATAAAATCACATTTTGGTCGGCAAATCCAAAAGATAGGACGGAGAAATCATCACGGATCATGAGATAGACGACGGAGCCATTCTGGCCGATGGCGCGCAAGCAATATGGCCGACAAAACCAAATCACGGCATAGGCGCGCCAACCGGTTGGAAAACTCTTCCTTTGAGCTTAACTAACACTTTTATGCAGGAAGAAACGAAAAGGAACGAGCCAAACTTCACATGGCCAAGGAAACTCCTTCCCGGAGCCGACTTGACCATTTTGTGAAGGAAGTCTCAATCCGCTCGTTCAAATGCTCCCAAACTTCACCAGAGGCATAAAATACCAGGTTGGTCGATGAAATTTCAATATAGGTCATGAAATTTTACGGTTTGTTCTGTAGTTCACAGCACCACATTTTGGCCGACCGAATATACCAATCTCGGCCAAAACACAAACCGGCGGAAACCAAGGCCTGAAATTAAAAACTCACCGACCAATATTGCCTAAAGAAGTGTAGAATGACCCAAACCAACTGATCTTCATTATAAATTGGTCGACATTTGGTAACATCATCCTAAACCTTTTTCTTTTCAATTTTTCATTTGAACTTCATGTTATGCCTCTCTTAATCCGATTTGCTTTCACCGGGACGGTGCAAGTTAAGTCTGGGGGGATTACTAACAATGTTTGTTCATTTTGGCATTTTCATTTGCATTTTTTCCCTTTTATCGAGTCGTTTTTATTGAGTCAAAATTTTTGTCGAGAATCATGACCTTATCTTGGATCTAACCATGGTTGTACTAATGTTTAAGTGACCATTGAGCAGTTCTTGGCAATACATCTTACCACAGGTGCACTATGAGTTGATCGATCTACCAAAAACGCCTACATCTCTAAAGACTTGAGAAGGATCCATCTTTGACTCCGCCCTTAATGAACTTAATCTTCTCAGCTAGGGGCTTGGCATACAAATGGCATGATTCCTCATCCTCTCCATCAAATGAAAAAGTCTTAGTGAGTTCGTGCTTCCCTCTCTCTCCCCTTCAAATTTAAAGAAAAAGCGTAAGGTCCAAGTAACCGGGGATTCGGTGGCAAACACCATCAATACTCGCGTCTATGGAAGGCCTATGAATCCAAGCAACCGGGGATTCGGTGGCAAACACCATCAATACTCGCGTCTGTGGAAGATCCAAGCAAAACCTCTATAATAAAGAGAAGGAGTTGAATAAAAAAATACTTCGCTACCCTAAAAAAGGGATGAATCAACTCAAAGAAGTGAGAAGAGAGAGAGGAGAAACATGGAGTAAAAGACAAGTGCCAAACAAGGGGATGAGAAAGAATCTAAAAGCCGGCTGATCGATACTCCCTAGTTGAGACCACACCTTTAGAAATGAAAGGAGTCAAGGGTGGCGAATTGGATTGTCCAAGGAGAGGTGGACCGCTTTGGGAAAATCGCAAAACTCATGGTATGTACTTTGTTCTTAATTCAAAACTTGCCAATGCTGTTTCATGTGGATTACTAAAGCATAAGTCAATTTGGATTTCCAAAAGATTTGAGAGTTCTCACGTTTTCAAACCTCTTTTCCTGCTTAGTTTGCTTGGGGACAAGCAAAAGGCTAAGTCTGGGGGAGTTGATATCACCATATTTTACATGATTTTACTATATAATACTATGTTTTCAAACGGTTTTTGCAAGATTCTTTGCCTTTAGAGGTAGTTTTCTTGTATTTGTGGGATTTGAAGTCTTTGTAGGTGAAATAATCAAAAAGGATGCAAAAAGGAGTAAAAGAGCCCTAAATCAAGATCCATGCAAGTTTCCAAGTCAAGAAGATCATTTTATCTCCAAGTGTTAGTTCTCGCTAGCGCGCAGAACGAAGCTTCGGAAGTTTGGCCGCGCGCGGAGGAGTTCCCGACGTCCAAAAGTTACGATCTTGATATGGAAAGATAGATACTTGAGTCATGCATCACGTCGAAGTGGAATGAAGCCATTTGGATCAACTATGAGGCCTAACTTATTTTCTACCGAGACATGTCCGGTAAGCGAGTAAACGAAGCCCATGGAGGATTTGGAGTGTCTAATGGCCCGAGCAGCAGCGCCAAAGGCCTTGATCGAATAGAGAAGAGGCCTGGCTAATGTTTGGAGCTTTCCTTGGTACAATGTCGGCCCATACACGACGTGGAGAAGAAGGCTCGGCATGGGAAACTTTCCTTTTCCGGCATGAAGAAAACCCTACGCGACTTCGCCCATATATACATGTTTTTAGCCGCTGAAGAAGAGAGTCCGAAAATTATCAAAGAGTGTACGTGTGAGAAGAGAGTTCAGAGAAGAGAAGCCCTAGGAGATCGTCCAAGAAGAAGGAGGCGCCGCTCAACTCTTGTTCTTTCTTTTTCATTGTTTCCATTTCTATAAACTTGATCTTAAGAGTTTTCAAGGGAGAATCCGACTTTGTTCATCAATAGAGAAGCTTTCTTCATCCCTTTATCTCTTTTAATACTTGCATAATGTTTACAATCATGCTTTGCTTGCTTGTTTGCATCATGGCCGAGTAGATCTCTTAGTTAGGCCGAGGAGATCTATGGTGGCCGTGATGATTTGATTGTGTTGCAACTTATTGGGATTTATCTTATGGATCTTCACCTTTACTTGAGCTTAATGCATGATTACTCTACCGTACATCTAGTAATCTGATCTTAGAGAAATAGAACCACGACAGTGCTGAATCTAGATCTCAAAACTAGTATTTGGTGAGCAATAGATCATAGCCAACGAAAGCTGAGTTATGGTTTATTGTGAACAATTGAATCTTGATCACCTTTAATGCATGTTTGCAATTCTAATAGCCAACGAAAGCTGAGTATATTAGGTTGTTTTAAACATAGTGGTTGGAGCCACGACAGTGGAAAGACCATACACTAGTGATTCATGTTCAAGACGGCTCTACACACATCCCATGCAACTATCTTTTCATCATTGCTCCATATGATTGTCCTTTGCCTAACTCTTGTTTTAAATTGTTTACAACTCACTCACATTTCTTTTGTTTTTTCTCATTCTAGGTCCAAAACCATCTCATATTGCGAGCTAGCTACAAACCAATCTCACAAGGTGTTAAGTGAGAACACTTCCTCCTCGTGTTCGACCCCGACTACAACACGGCTGTGCACTTGCAGCTCATTAGTTGGGTTTATAAATTGTGAAAATTTGAGGCAATCTAAACCGCCATCAGTAGCATCAACTTTAGAAGGGCCTTAGTAGCATCAACTTTAGAAGAGCATCCATTAGCATCATATCTTGTTAATATACCTCTATTTTACATGCTTTTTATATGGTTTTACTATGCTTTTCATAAGGTTTTTAATGGCTTTCTGATCTAAAAAGGTAGTTTTTATGGATTTATAGTACTTAGAGTCTAAACAGGTCAAAAGATGCATTTTGGAGCAAAACACAGGATTTGGACTTCAAGACATCCAGGACGTAGCATCAACTTTAGAAGGGCCTTAAAAACATTCTACTCAATGGACTTCATCAAATACAGTTCTACGTGATGCATACGAGTTAGCTTTGCAACGCAACTGGAATCAATCAATTTGACCGAGTAGATTGGGAGATATCTCTATTTCCCTGAGACATATACCGAGGAGCTTTATCGGACTGCATCAGTACATCAGACGAGCAGCAGCGGCTTGGACCCTTAAACTCAATGGATTTCAATGAAACTCAACAAAGATAGGCAAATGAGTTAGTGTTCCAATGCCGTTGAATTATGCAATTTGGAAGAGCCTAGAAGATATCACGTTTGTACTGAAGACTGGTCCACAGCCGGCCGAACGCACTCGGCCGGACAGGAAGGGAATTGGCTTCGCTCGGCCTTCTCCAGGACCATCCGGCCGCACGACCGCACCGTCCGAGCCGGGAGGCAATGGACCACGATCGACCGAGAACATCACATCACGGCCGACCCCGACGGCCGACCACATCCCTTGCACGGTCGACCCGAGCTCCGCGAACAAAAAGCCCACTTATGCAGTTTCGACTATTCTTGGCCCGTTTCACCTCAACCGACTTGTGGAAGACCTAGGGCACTATAAATACTCTTTTTTAGCCTCTTTAGAAGAGAGAGCCGCACAGGAGAAGAGCCACAAGAGAGAGACACATAGGGAGCTCCCCTTAGAGGGATCCTCCATTGTTTTACTTCTTTCTCATTGTTTTCTTAAGGGAGAAGATCCCTTCTTTGTACTCGACATAGAGAAGCTTTCTAAACCCTTTTCTCCTTATAATACTATGATTTCGTTCTATGATTTATGCTTGTTTACTTGCATGATGATTGAGTAGATTTCTAGTTAGGTTGTGGGTTTCAAAGAGTTCATGAATCATTAGGTTGCTAAACTCGAATTAGGGTTTATTATATTAGATCTTCATCTTCACTTGAATTCATTGCTGCTTGCTTTTCTGATCAACTAGCATCAGATCTTAGGTTTCATATACTCTCCAAAAGCTTGCTATATAACTGGAACTAAGTGTTTGATGAGCAAAACTTCATAGACTGCGAAAGTTGATCTATGAGGGGTTGTGAACAATTGGGTCTTGAACGAACTAATACTTGATTTAATCACCTAGAGACATACCAAAAGTTTAGCGACTAGGTAGATTAACAAAGGGGTCGGAGCCTCCTTTGTGAAGGATCTCTCAATCCACTCGTTCGAATGCTCTCAAACTTCCCCAGAGGCCATAAAATATGAGGTTGGTCGATGAAATTTCAATATGGGTCGAGGAATTATTTATAGTTTGAGCTGTAGTCCATAGCACTACCCTCCAGTCGACCGAAATGTCCCATCTCGGCCAGAACGCAACCCGGAGTGAACCAAGCCCTGAAATTCAAAACTCACCGACCAAAACCACATGAGGAAGTCTCCCATTCATTCATGACCTAAGGCTGGAAAAGGTCAACTACATACCACCACTAGGTTGTTTCTTCATGGACTTGAGGTCTAATCAGGTTACATCTTTCTTCTCATTCACTCACACATTATACCTCTTTCTTTTTCCTCCCTTAATCGGATTTTCTTTCACCGGGACGGTGCAAGTTAAGTCTGGGGGGATTGTCGGTACTAATGTGTTTGTTCATGCCTTGTCTTTATCTTATAACTTTTCTCTTTCCCACCTTTTTCAAAACTTTCTTTTTTATTGAGTCAAAATAAGTTAGGAAACTATGATCTATCCTAGGAGCTTACCTTATCACACCAAAGCTCTTGTGATCACAAAGGCGAATACTGACACCGAACAATGCCTAACGGAACCTCTAAGGGTGGATCGACCTACTGATTTGGCAAGATTTCTAAGGTACCCACACAATCTAAAGCTAGCTCCACAACTTAATGAACCTTTAATTTTTCTTGTCAAGGGGCTTGAGATACATATGAGCCGACTCCTCATTCAGGTCTAGTTGAGACATGTCAATAAAGAAACAGTCCATCCTCTCTCTTATCTGCAAAAGAAAGATCAAAAGCTTTATAGCACAAGGAAAACAAGTAAGCATGAGGAATGCATACTTCTGTACCTTCATGTCTTATGGAATACCTTATAAACAAGGAGGAAGCTTAAAGCCAATCCATGTGTCCCACAAATAGAAATCTTAAGGGAAGGAGGATCGATAGAAAAAATAAAATGATACCCTAGAAAAGTAGGGAAAAATCGATCCTTCAATGATAAGAGAGAAGGAGAGAGGTTTGGTACTGAATGTGCTAAAAAGACTGTCTTGGCAAAACTTGGATGGGTAAGAATCAATGCTCTGTGATCAATACTCCCTTGATAAAGACCACACGTTTTAAATACTGCAAGGAGTTAGCAATAGAGAGTTTGGAATACTGATGAGATTTGTTGGGTCCGGTATGGTTCGCTAACTCAAGGTCAGTACGGGAAAGCTAGTTTCAAAGTTGGTTTTCTCCAAATGAAAGCAGAGCAATGGTGGATACAAGTTCTAAAGGATAAGTGAGTTTCCATGTTTTCAAAACCTCTTCACTAGTTTGGATTCGATTTGCTTGGGGACAAGCAAAGATCTAAGTCTGGGGGAGTTGATATACCTCTATTTTACATGCTTTTTATATGGTTTTACTATGCTTTTCATAAGGTTTTTAATGGCTTTCTGATCTAAAAAGGTAGTTTTTATGGATTTATAGTACTTAGAGTCTAAACAGGTCAAAAGATGCATTTTGGAGCAAAACACAGGATTTGGACTTCAAGACAGCTCCAGGACGTAGCATCAACTTTAGAAGGGCCTTAAAAACATTCTACTCAATGGACTTCATCAAATACAGTTCGACGTGATACATACATGAGTTAGCTTTGCAATGCAACTGGAATCAATCAATTTTACCGAGTAGATTGGGAGATATCTCTATTTCCCTGAGACATATACCGAGGAGCTTTATCGGACTGCATCAGTACATCAGACGAGCAGCAGAGGCGTGGACCCTTAAACTCAATGGATTTCAATGAAACTCAACAAAAAGATATGAATGAGTTAGTGTTCCAATGCCGTTGGAATTATGCAATTTGGATAAGCCGTAGGAGATATCACGTTTGTACTGAAGACTGGTCTACAGCCGGCCGAACGCACTCGGCCGGACAGGAAGGGAATCGGCTTCGCTCGGCCATCTCCAGGACCAATACGGCCGCACGAACGCACCGTCCGAGCCGGGAGGCAATGGAACACGATCGACCGAGAACATCACATCACGGCCGACCCCGACGGCCGACCATATCCCTTGCACGGTCGACCCGAGCTCCGCAAACAAAAAGCCCACTTATGCAGTTTCGACTATTCTTGGCCCGTTTCACCTCAACCGACTTGTGGAAGACCTAGGGCACTATATATACTCCTTTTTAGCCTCTTTAGAAGAGAGAGCCGTGATGCGGAGTCAGGTTTTATGATGATAGGTGTTTTGTGTGTGTAAGTGAAAAGATATGAGATGAAGTCTGTGGAATGCAATCAGTGGTATGAGATGAGGTGGTAATATGCAGCACAAACACAGTCAACAATTCCCTTTAACCATTATAGTTGAAGTAGTACAAAGGGTTATCAATCCAAAATGGGAAGTACTTGTCACTCTATGAGAATATGAAACAACCAGAAAGTCAAGCAAACAGGTTTTGATGAGGATGAAATACTAACAACCTAAATGAAATGAAATTCAATGCAGAAATAGAAATGAAAGCAATAGAGCAATAGCTCGACCAGGGACTCGAGTCGAGTTGGGACAGAGCACCGAGCTCGATCGAGTTGTGGGTCGAGTTAGCGAGAAAGACAGTAAAGGTAGCGACTTTAATAAACTAGAGAGAGAATTAGGGTTCAAGACAGGGTTTTGCAATCAAAGGAATCTACACTTAATCAATCTAGCTCTTAAAACTCCTTGTATCAAGGCTTCTCTTGATATTGGGCTTCTCAAT